TTATTGTAAGAATTTTGACTTCTTCTTGGAGGCGATTCTAATCTACGAATATATTGACATATATGGCAAAACCTCATTTAAAAAGAATCTGATCTTTGACACCACTTAATTCGTGGGCACACGTTCTGTCTTTTTGCTGTGTGCGTGAGGTTTAAGCTCTTTTACATACGCATGCATCCCAGCAAAAACAGAATAGAAAACCGTTTTTTTTTTTGTAGATTTACAAAATCACTACGTAACTTTAAAAATTTATCAACCGTTTCTTGTACTTCCTTCTTATGCTTACAATGTCACCTAAAGATGGTGGCAATCAGCGCGTGATATTCAATTAATTTTGGAAAATCGTCGACCCATGCGTTATCGTGCTCTTAAAAAGCAACAACAGTCAGAGGAGCAACAACAACAATTAAGTCAAATTTTATATAACGCAAATGCAAATACGGCTTCAGGTATAACAACAAATCCAATGAATAAAACAATCGTTCAACAGCAAGACCAACAGCAACAACAACCACGACAACAGCCGCAACAGAAACAATCTCAACAAGAGCCACATCAGTCGACTCACTCTGACGTTACGGAGGAAGAAGTTTTAATCAATCTGAATAACAGTAGACATCCAGATGTGCAAAATCATCACCGGCGAGAAGGACAACAGCAACAATCATCCTTGCATGCAGAAAATTTGAACAAAACTACGAAACCGAAAATGCCATTAACCACAACGAAGGCAGTTAATATTAATATAGCACCGCTAGAGGAGATAAGTAATATAGGCATTGGTTATGTGTGGGTATGATAGTGGTGACGGTGAACACAGGCAGCAAGGAAAATCAGAAAAGAGAATTATGAGAAAAAGATAGCTAGACTTTTTGAGCACAATAAAAGACGATTTCGACGATAGAATCAAGCTAACATCAGTGGTTAGCAGTTGATACGAAGCAGCGATTCAATCAGATACAGTTGATAAGCCTGTCCATTTTTTGTTTACATCACTGACTCGACAGTCGAGGTTACTTTTACTTGCGAAAAACTAGCTGCGGTTTTCTCTTGCTATAATCAGTCGTAGGCAACTCGCTATTTATACTTTCATGTGGTAACTAAACTGAAATACTATAAAGTTTGTGAATTGATAATCGAGGTTTTGTAACCCGTTCTGGTTTTTAGTTTTTGACTCTCAAAGCGCATAATTATTGTGACTTCGCTGACATTTTGTGATTTACAAGTTTTTAAAATTATTTTGGAAAAACAACACATCTCTTACTCTATATGTTTCTTATAATAATTTAACAATCAGCAGAAAACTTTTTTTGAATATCTTATATATATACGAAAGAAAAACACAAATATTATGTAAATATCCAAAAAAATAATAGAAAAAATATACGGCAAAAAATAAAATTTAGAAAAAATATAAATGCATTTTATTCACGCTGGTAACATGTGCTTAACGTGACTGCAAGCCTATATATGTATGTACTTATTTAATATATGAAAAAAAGAACAAATATATTAAGTAAAGCGACTCGACCTAGCATTATGCTTTCGCTTGAGGTGTGCAAGACTTTCGGTTCATACAAAATGAGTTGAAATCGAACACGATTTTCTTGTTCTATGGCCTTGTCTAGCCCATCATATGAAAGATAATTAGAAGCTGTAGTGAATCTTTGATCACTCCAAGCATATTTATCATTACCGCCAAGCCACTATATATTAGCACTTTTTTTAAAATGAATATTGCGTCGAGTCTAAGCCCTGCTTTATATCGATATTGGTAATGCAGGATCAACCGACGGGTTTGCAGAATTTTTCGTAAAACATTCTATGAAACAAACAATGCCACAAAGGGATATTACGCATCTACAAACGAAGTTGTTCTCTCCAAAGTATGAAAGTTTAATTTCGAACTATTCAGTGCGAAGATTACAAAATGTCGATGACGACTTCAAGAAAGATGACTTAAAACAATGACACAAAACTGTACATATGAAACGAAAGGTAACCAGTAAAATAATTTTCGCCCACAGCCGAATCTTCTGTACCCAGGGTAAAGGTAAAGCGGAGAAAATGACAATGAAAACATACCCACGACGTCTTTTTTTTTTTTTTTTTTTTTTTTTTTGATTGAAGTCTAGCACACACACTGACACATATACAAGTATACATGCAATATCATTTTTTTTTAGATTGTAGCGGTAGCAGAATGGAAACTTTCGAGCAACATAAAATCGTCAAGAAGAGAGAAAAAGAAGAACGGTTTTGTTGTACTGGCATTGTAGACTAATGAAGAAAAATAATGACATTTTTTTTTTAATGAGAAAATATGTCAACAAAACATGGTGAGAACGGGGCTTTCATGGCTAGCTCGTTAGCCGTTACCGCAAAACTAGAAAAACTGTAATATACTACCTAAACTACGGTCACATATCAACGTTATCATATTCCTCCTATGCCTGCCTAGTTCATTATACGCTTTACTTCCCTAATTTATCTCAAGTCCGTCAGTCCATGGTGTAAACCCATTTTTTCGTCAATTCATATTAATAAAATCTAGCACATCTACTCCTCACACCCTACCTACCTGAAACCAACTTTCTTGACTTTATCTTATTATTTCCATAATGTAAACCGTAGAATAAATATAAATACACTGCTTCGTAGGTTTATTATTAACCACTAAGATTGGATCGTGATTCCTTTTCCGCGTGAACAATCGGTGACCACGTTCCGGAACGCCTGTAGGCGGTTGTCTCAAGATTTCTTCTGCTCTGCTCTTAGGCGTGTTAATTAGTCTGCTTCATTTAACATACTTATTTTGTTTTACTTTTTTTTACTACAAAAACAATAGGTTGAGTATCTCGTTTTCTTCTTCTTAAATTTCTTCTATATTTGTAGTCTACTTTCTATATAACGTATATTTTATGGAGAAAGTTTGAACATGTCTCTTCTAACAAAATTTCAATGTAATCTTTGCAGCTTTCAACGTATCTTTTTTTCTTTTTATAAAATTTTGTTGTAGTTGTTGTTATGTTTTTAAGCTGTTTTTTTTTTAATATTTTTTTTTAAATGTTAACAAATGTTCTATTGTTTTCAATCGTTTTTATCGTTCCCCTCAAAAGTTTTTCTTTTTCTTAGTTCTTCAATAACTGTACTGATAATATTCATTACAACATTTAAGTCCAAGGTTCATGTTATTCAGGTAACAGCATGAAAGGAAAGTCAAACACTTAATTTTACACCTTCCTTTTTTTTACAATTCACATTATAAATTATGATGTTTTCTTCTTCTTACATCTACGGTTTATCAATAACAAATTGTCTACAGAAAGTGGACTGTCAATATAGTCCTTAAAGAGTTCACTTGCTCTTCGCCGAGATCAGTGGCAACTTTTTTTCTCAAAATCTCACTTGCTACTCTTTGCAAACCCAATCACTTTTTTTTTTTCTTTTTTTCTTTCGCCTTTCTTACCCTTTTGTGACATACAAATTTCACATGTCTGCTAACCCGCCCGATGAATATGTGAGAGTTTGATATGCGAACAAAACAAAAACTTCATAGAGCAGTACCCCCTTTAATTTGCACAGACAGACTTTTTTATAATCCTTTCCTTAGCTATAAGCAAATTATTGCTATATTAGCAATGTTCCGCTATCTCAACACTTATTATCCTTTGATTGTGATCAATGGCTAACACAGACTGACAGAAATTCCCTAAACAACTTTAGATGGACCACCCAAGCGAAAATTAGAAAAGTGTTTACATTTGCGCTGTTTTTGCTCTTGCTTGCTCAACGGTGGTCTTACCTCCTCAAGGTGAAAATAGTGCATACATTCATACATATTGTTGTATATATATATATACTGTTATACTAGGTATGTACATATATAAATTTTCAATATCACTTTCTGCAATAAACCAAAAAGTCTTGTGTCATAATGTTATTAGTAGGCGTTGGCCCATGAAAAATTCATTTTCGTCGCTGATTCTATGCCGAAGCCCCGAACATACGCACAAAAATTTCCAGATCATTCAAATTATGTTTTTCTAATTGCCTTTTTCAAAGACAATAAGAAATCGGTGCAACGTTTTCTGCGGCAATATTAATTTAAAGTACATAATAATAAATCGTTATGCCCTACGCCACTTGTTGTAGAAAGATATATTAAGTTTGTTGCGAATGTGTGCGACAACCAGACGGACGTAAGATAGGTTCGACTTTCATTGTGCCGTTGGACTCAAAAACACTTTTAGAATCGATTTATGCTTGCAAGCCCGGGTGTTCGTCCCCTTTGCTTCTGTTCAATCTACAATCCCCAACTTATGCGTTTAATGGTGAAAGTTGGTACATTGCCGTGCTTCGTCCAAGTTCTATCAGTGCTGAAATTGATTTGGGTCGGACGACCTCTGCGGTCGCCTCCTATATAGCACCTTATTTTGGAAACTCGTGAAAGCCACGGCACACTGCACTCTTTTTACTTCCATTTGGCTTGAAAGCTTACATTTTCTTAAGTAAAAGTCAAGAATGATCAAAGTAAACGAATTCCATCGAAAGCTAATAATATGTCATAGATTATCTTTATAATAGAAGACCGCAGCCAAGTTCGAGCGTTGTTTTATCTTAGTAGCAAAATATTTTAAAATATTTTTTCTATTTTATGTTCGGTCTTTTCTCTTCTTTACTTCTGTCATTGTTATATATTCCGTTCTTTGCTCTAGTTTATTGCGCTTGCTTCAAAACTAAAATCGGAAACATGTTTGGTTATCCATCCATCAAGTGACACATGAGTTTAGGAAGCGACAACTTGATTGATGGCTCATAAATTAGTCAGTTCGTTCAGTAAAATAATAGATTTTCACTCAACTCTGACTAACACTGCCAGCGTTGCCAAAGTGAAATGCATACAATGTTGAAAACGTTGTTACTTAAAACAAAAAAAAAAAAAAAAAAAAATACGAAAATAAAAAATCAATGAACACTTAAGTCTATGAAAAACTTACATCTTTATCGCCTAAACGCTCGACGCGACAATGCAGGAAACCGGTTTGTCCGACGGTTACAGTTATGTTGCGGGGCACATCAAAATCAAAATATGGCAACAAATTAGTTGGCGACACCGTTGTCGTATCCGTATTGTATACGTTGGCTATTATTGTTGTCGTTGTTGATGTTGAATACGTTGTTAAAGATTCTGGAAAATAAAATCAAGCGAAAGAGAGAGAGAGAGAGAGAATTAAGTAAAACAGCAGAACTAAATATTTCGCAATAATTTAGCGATATATCTTTAAATAAAAAGAAAAGCGCTTCACACGAGCCGCGTATATAAGAATAGAAAGAAATGAAAAAGCATAAGAAAAAAGCCAGATCCTACAATTAATGATAATATTTTCATGGGCAAATATCTCTAAATAAATAATGACAACAACTTTATGCTAATGTATATGACTCTATACGTGGCGCCGTCAAATTTTATCGTCGCAGTAAATGTTCAGAGATTTAATTCAATGTGACGACGTTAATAAAAAAAGGAAAAAAAAAACCGTAGTTAATCATAACATGCTGTGTACATGTATATACATATATGCAAATAAATTTAAAACATATATTTGATTTTTGTATTTTTAATAAATTTTTTTGTCATTTTTATGGTATAGAACAAATAACAAAATTTATGATCTGTAAATGGAGTTTTATGTTTATTCAGAATTTTTTTTTTTATGGAAATAAAACAACTGTAAAAACAAAATGGGAAAACAGAATTGATGTTTTCAAACTGTTTTAGATTTTTTTTTTTTTAATATCCTCAAGGGCTAACACTATTGTGATAGCCGAAAAAAGCGTATTTTTGACAAATCCTTTTTTGGATGAAAACGACGGTAATAGAATGATAATATTTTTGAGGAAGTTATTAAGCATTTATTCAAGTTTAAAAAAAAGGAATATTTTAAAACAATTGAAAACAAGTGCGAACCGGCCCACCATAAAAAGGCTTATCCTTAACTTATCCATACAACGACTTTCGAAAATAAGGTTTAATATACAAAATAGTCGAAAAAATAGTCGAACCCGCTCGATTTTCAATGGCTTTCGTCCTTGGGCTAAGACATATCAGTGTGACAACTTTCATAAAACTATCCTAAAAATAGCGGCCTGTAGATTAAACAAAAGAAGATAAAATGAACAGACGGACAGACAGACAGACACGCCTAAATCAAATCAGAAAATGACTCGGCATCTTTCGATATAATAAAAGGTGGGTTTATCTCAAGTCCTTTTGGTCGTTGCGCAGAAACGCTGTATACCACTTGTGGTGTCGGATATAAAAACTTCACAATACTGAAGCCTTTGTTACGAGTTGTCTGTAATTTAAGGGTCGATGTGGCAAACAGCATGAGCCCTGGAAATTTCAATCTAAATCTGTCGCACGTGGGAACGGTGAAAACGTCGAACATCCTCGATATTTTCGAGCGTCAGTTTAACCTTAGGTGGACGACAGCTGTAAAATAGGTCTGTTTACCAACTAAGTCGTCTCATAGGACTACTTGTCTTTCTCAGCTTTCCCTCTTACTATACCTGCTCGTACCAGTAAACAGGCACATTACCATAACTTTCTTGCCTTTAATCCCGATGCCGAATTTTGGCAATAATCTGTCCGTTATCTCAGATGTTTCCATTTTGAAGCCAAATTTTTTTCCAAAAATGGCAACATTGAAAACACATTATATACAGAATATAAATCGGTTCACGTATACACCTATAGGTAAAGAAGTATATAGGGATGATGAAAATAGTAATCAGCAATATTGTATGAGTGTTCGAATAGACAATTTAATTTGTGATCATAGAATGCAGCTATTGTTAATAAATGCCATAACCTTGAAAATGTTAAAGCTATTTATAAAAACTTCGAATATGTTCGAAAGAATGAGAATCGTTCTGCTTGCCGTGTTTTGGCATTTGTCTATGATAAACTATTTTGTACCGTATATCAATTTTAGTACAAGGATACATTAAGTTCGTGCGAATGTATGCAAGGACTAATCTCAAGTCCCACCTTTTATTATACCAATCGCTCCAGAAATAAATTCCGAATTTGCCTGAGCTCATTTATCCCACAGTCTACTTATTCGACTTCTGTTCTGATCTTCAACGCATAGACCGCAACTTTGAAGAATTTGTACCTAAACCTGACGCGTCCACGTGCTTTGGCTCAAGGGCGATTGTTATTGGAAGTTTTTCGGATTGGGCCAGTTTTTGAGTCGCTGGCCCATCCCATACGCCCAAGGCCTTAATTTGAAACGTCATTATATGAATCACCGCATTAAGCGAAGTGATTTGCGATGTAATATAATAATAAGCCCAGTATAGATTTTTACTTGTTTTGATTATAATAAATTTTTCTTTCACTTTTCTCTTAAGTAACGTCAATGCTAAGATCATTAAAATACTCTTTAATGTTTAAAAAGTCGTTCTCATTCTCTTTCCTTAAAGATTTTATGCTGGACCATGCCGGTTCGGTACTAGTGTCAGAATCTTTATTGTGCACTCTTAACGTTTTAACAGAAACATGGACTTCCTTCAAATTGTTATTGGGTTCAAATTCATTCAATAATTGTCTCGATAAAGCTGTATTTAAGTATTTGCCTTGCAAATAATTTCCAGTCAACACAAATGCTTTCTAAACGGAATTGCTAATATTTTAGAGAAGTTAAAAATGGACAATTATGACGTAAGGCTCTAACTCTTCAGCTGGTATTGATTTGCCCAAGGCAATATTTTTAGAAAGTTTGGCGAAAACGCCAAATTTTTTTGTTTTTAAATTTACGGTGACTTAAATTTTTTGCTACATTGAGCACGTGTTCGCAGAAGCAAAGTCGACGTGATTTACTTTTGGCAAATTATTTCTACCTCTTTCGCAAAAACATTCTACTCTGTATTAGAGTTGAACTTGCTTTTAATGGTGGGCAATAATTTCATTCCATGTCTGATATAAATTTTATTCTGCAAAATAAATTTTGTTGTTGTATAAATTCTGCCTAAAGTAGACATTGAGCTGCTTACTGTTTGAATTCAAAAGTAGATTAACATTTTTTTTCTCATAAGAAGATAGACATTTTAATAAGTGAATCGTTTTGATCTTTTTTTTTTTTTTTTTTTGTTAAATTTGAAGGATGGTACCTTGTTACATTAAGCTATATCAAATTCCACCTAAGCTCTTATCCTACTTATGCAGCTCATTACGAGCTGCTAAGTAATCAAACCGCTATTTTGTGTGGATACCTCTTAAATCGCCTGTTCTTATCTTTTTCGGGTCGACAGGCGCTTGCAAAATTCATGATGTCATACAGCCTAAGCCTTTCTTAAAGTATCTAGTCCATAGGAAAAATTTAATATGCTTATATGTTACTTTCATTATTGTGAGAACTTTATTTCAGAAATTAATACAAAAAGCTGTCGTATGGAAATTAAATGTTGTTTAGGAAAAATATCAATTAAAATTAGGCAATAAAATTGTAGTTGAACTCCGAAAAGTTGGCAATAATACTTTTTATATAGTATGCTTGAAATTATGCAATAATTTTTTTTGCAACAGCTGATACCGATTATGTAAAATGGTGCACGTCTTAAATAATACTTTTGTTGCTTGAACATGTGACTGCATTTAGCAAATAACGTTGGTGTTGGATTTACAACACACAAAAACGCAAAAATTAATTTGTTATTTTGTAATACATAT